GACCTGTCACACAGCATCAACTGGCTAGAGCTCCGGGCCATACACCTGGCCCTCCGTCATTTCTCACACCTAGTAACGAGGAGGCACGTCCTCGTGCTTACAGACAATGTAGCAGCCAAGGCGCATGTAAACAAGGAGGGAGGAACGAAATCAGTGGAACTAATGAAGGAAGCATTGGCTCTGTCTCGGTGGGCAGAAGCCAATGTGAGTTCCATCAGAGCGGAACACATCTCAGGGGAGACAAACACCCAGGCAGACTCCCTGAGCAGAGCCAAGGTGGACCAGTCGGAATGGCGTCTGGACCCGGCTCTCTTCGAGGAGATCTCCCGGAGGTTCGGACAACCGCACCTAGATCTATTTGCCAACCACAAGAACACACAGCTCCCCAGGTTCTTCTCCAGATTCCCGTCCCCGGGATCGGAGGGAACGGATGCTCTCAGGTGCCGGTGGCCGGCGCAACTCCTGTACGCCTTCCCACCGCTGCCATTAATACCGGCAACCATACGCAAGATGATCCTGGAGGGCGCAGAAATGGTCTGCATTGCCCCTCACTGGCCACGGCGCCCGTGGTTTGCCGACCTCGTGGACCTTTCGATATCACCTCCGTGGAGGATCCCCCCGGACAAGGTAAAACTCAGTCAGGGCAAGCTTGTACACCCAGATCCCCAGTGGCTACAACTAGCCGCTTGGCATTTGAGCGGCAAAGCTTAACTAAACAATCTTATTCTGCAGGGGTGATATCGATCATACAGGCATCACGAAGAGCGTCCACTAATAGGATTTATGACGCTACGTGGAAGGGATTTTGTAGGTGGTGCGCTTCGCTTCACCTAGACCCGACCGCAGTATCTATTCCCAATATCCTAGATTACCTACTGGAGGGTCTTAATAAGGGCCTGTCAGTCAATACTATCCGCAGACAGATATCGGCCCTCTCAACTGTACTCTCCTGCGACAACTTAACTTCCCTAGCACAGCATCCAGCTATTAATGCCTTTTTAAAAGGGGCATCTAACACAAAGCCCCCAGTCATACACAGGTACCCGTCCTGGAACCTGCCTAAGGTCCTTCTAGCCTTGACATCAGCACCCTTCGAACCTCTTGAAACATGCTCACTCCATCACCTATCACTGAAGGTAGCTTTCCTTGTGGCAATTACTTCAGCAAGAAGAATCTCAGAACTAGCAGCACTGTCAGTAAGGAAGGATCTGTGTACCTTTTTCAAAGACAGGGTCGTTCTTAGACCAGACCCGACCTTCATTCCGAAGGTAAATAGCATCTTTCACAGATCTCAGGAACTTTCGCTTCCTGATTTCTGTCCAAGACCCAAACATAGACTAGAACACAGATGGCACAAGCTGGACGTGCGGAGAGCGCTGTGTTTCTACGTGAAACGCACCTCGGCTTTCCGAAAGACTGAAGCATTATTTGTGTCCTTTCAACCAGCAACTATGGGAAAGAAGGTATCTCCTTCCACCATAGGCAGGTGGATCAGAGCCTGCATAGCGCAGGCCTACGTCTCACAGGATTTGCCAGCACCCACTCAGGTGACTGCTCACTCAACTCGGAGCGCAGCTACATCTGCGGCGTGGCTAACGCAAGCTCCGGTGGAAGAGATTTGCAGGGCCGCAACCTGGTCCTCACCTTCGGTTTTTATTCGACATTACCGTTTAGACTCCCTAGCAGCAGCAGACGCGGCTTTTGGCAGAAGAGTTCTTCAACAAGTCGTATCTGCTCAGAGTTCGGTAGCCTAGACATTCCCTCCCAGGGGGACATGAGGGCTTTGGTATGTCCCATCCATTTGGACTCTACAGCCATCCTGCTGGAGAAGGGGCGTTGTCTTACCTGAACGCCTTTTCTCAGCAGGATGATGTAGAGTCCAAGCCCACCCAGAGGATAGGTCTAGGCAGGGTTATAATAAAGATATAATAAAGAGCTGCAAGGTTAATTCCAACAAAGTTTCTCGCCTAAGTCAAAACTGGGGTCACGCCCAAAGGAAGGGTGTGGCCGAAGTTTTTACCCAGTCTGCCAGGCAGGAAGGCCGTCATAGAACCCATCCATTTGGACTCTACATCATCCTGCTGAGAAAAGGCGTTCAGGTAAGACAACGCCCCTTTTCAGGGTCTTTGAACAATCACTAAGTGATTGGTTGTAAGTAAAGGACTACCTGTACAAAATGATTTTCCTGCTTCAGTGGAAATTAATGGAGGAAGAAACTCCAATTTTACGTGAGTGAATATGGTGTTTAGAAGGCTCTGATCCTGAAAGGGGGAGAATCTTGACTTGCTGGATTGGAATACAAATATTCTTTGCACAGGTCTTCAGGAAGTGTTTTTGCTTCCTGTGGACACTCTCCTGTGTGGCACTTATTGTGAATCAGGGAATGACTGTTTAATAATAGATCAATAATACAATCAGTGGATGTCTTCTGAAAAAAATCTTATTCACTGAATAAAAGCATAGTTCTTTTACTTTAAGAGTCAGAAACTTTGGTTTCCAAATTAATATTCAAATGCTCCCTTTCTGTCTTCCCTGTCCAAATTAATGCTCCTACAGTATTTGTTTGATGTTGTTCCCATAATTATTTCAATTACTGATAAACGAATCTCTTAAAAACCTGGATGTAGAAAGGCTTATAGGATATCTTTTTTGGTCTGAAATTCCTTTTGGGCCTGCTTTGGCAAGACTGTTGCTTAGAGACGCAGAAATCTCCTACGAAACCCAGGGTCCCCCCCCCCTCCTTTCAGTATTAATAATCCCTTGTTAGGTTGCTCCATTGTTTTTAACTTTGGGTGGTCTGTGTGCATTGTATGCATGTTCATAGATGGTTTGGCAATTATCTATTTCCTGGATCTGGCACATCTGAAGGAAAACAGCATAGAATTCTTTAAAAACTGACAGAAATCTATTGCTTGTCTTTCCCTTTCCTGGAGTTATGTTAGAACTGGGGTCTTCAAACCTGGCCCTTTTATGACTGGTGGACTTCAACTCCCAGAATTCCTCAGCCAGGCACGCTGGCTGAGGAATTCTGGGAGTTGAAGTCCACCAATCATAAAAGGGCCAAGTTTGAAGACCCCTATGTTGGAATATTCTTAGTAAGTAGCAGATTTAACTCTGGTGATATCCAGATTAAATTCTTATTGTAATAATTACCTTTCTCCTAAGGGAAACGGTGCATTCTACAGTTCATTGTATGGAAAGGTTGTATGGAAACTGCTCCAACACAGTTCCTCCTTACCAGGATGAAGGTCTCATCAGAAACTGCTGGATTACATGGGAGGAGCCAGTTTCTGGGAGGATTGATACTTCTGGCCCAAGAAGAGAGTTACAAAGGCCTCCTTAGGTTTCCCTCTTTGAAATACCATAGGAAGGTAATACCAGGAGAAGATTGAAAAAGACTTAGCAACAATTCAGCTAAATCCAGAATCTCCTTTTGCAGTCTGCTCGATGTCTTTGACAAACATTTTGAACTATGGCCACCTGCTAGCAGACCTTTGGCCTATATCAATGGTTCTCAACCTTTTTAATGCCGCGACCCCCAATCGGTCGTAAGTCGAGGACTACTCAGCTGGTCGTAAGTCAAGGACTACTCAACTGCTGCAGCACCGTTTGCAGAACGGGACTTTTGGTGGGCTCAGCAGGGCAGAGACAGCCTGGACAATTCCTATTGGCTTTTGAAAGCCAATAGAATTAGACTCTATTCAAGAGACTCTATTCTATTGGCTTTCAAAAGCCAACAGAATAAAAGGGAGTAGCACAGCTAAGGAAAAGGGGGAAAAAATGGCGGACTGCGTTGTTTGGCGACCCCCGTGAAATGGTCGTTCGACCCCAAATGGGGTCCCAACCCACAGGTTGAGAACCACTGGCCTATATAATCGTGTGTCTTGTATAGCTCTTACATCTGCTGCGTAGCTATCTCTTGGTTTAGAAGTGAGTTTAAAAACTTTCGGGCTATCTTTTGAGTTGCCAGGTTCCTGGAACAGCCATCCATGTAGGCGGTTGCTGGTCAGGAGACGCTTAATCTTCCCTTTGCTAGGAAAGTTTGCTTTCTAAAATTAGATTGTGGTAATTATTTCTCATTGCACAATGCGTGGGGGGGGGAGAGAAGGAATTTTTGGATGGCTTCTGAAGGCTGTGGGTGGGTGAATCATTGTGGAGATTGTGAAGCTAGAATTGGACCAGAGCATTAAAATAAGGTTTGAATCATATTTTGCAACTATCTGCTCAGTGTAATTGAGTTCATATCACTGCTATTGTACATGGAAAAGAAGAGTGTGTCTCTTTCTGTTGACTTCTTACTGAAGGAACTCTAGGGTGGACAAAATGTTTCCATTGTAAACTATCAAGAGGTTCAGGGCAAATACTGCTTCCTTTCATGCACAATTTAATAAATTAAGCAGTAGGCAGACTTAATGTGCCTCACCATGTTCTTATCCTCTCCCCTTCCTTCCTTCCTTCCTTCCTTCCTTCCTTCCTTCCTTCCTTCCTTCCTTCCTTCCTTCCTTCCTTCCTTCCTTTCATGCACAATTTAATAAATTAAGCAGTAGGCAGACTTAATGTGCCTCACCATGTTCTTATCCTTTCTTTCTTTCTTTCTTTCTTTCTTTCTTTCTTTCTTTCTTTCTTTCTTTCTTTCTTTCTTTCTTTCTTTCCCTCCCTCCCTCTCTTTCCTTCCTTCTTTCCTTCCTTCCTTCTCTCTCTCTCTCTCTCTTTCTTTCTTTCTTTCTTTCTTTCTTTCTTTCTTTCTTTCTTTCTTTCTTTCTTTCTTTCTTTCTTTCTTTCTTTCTTTCTTTCTCCCCTCCAATTGTTTGACTTATCCACCCAGGGGACTATCAGGGAGAGCGCAGACTGCTGTTTTGTCAGAGATATGTACAGAACTGTTGCAAAGAGTTTTTGGAAGGGAACCAGTCACCGCAGCTCCTGGTTACTCCCTGGGGTGGAGGGGGTGTGGTGGAGAAGATTCCACGTTTTAAGCATGACCTTCTTGAATTTTTGCCTAGGTTCCTCGACTTATCTTGTGGGTGATGGTCGAGCTGGCTATCATTGGATCGGATATGCAAGAAGTCATTGGCTCAGCAATTGCCATTAACCTCTTATCCGTTGGGAAGTAAGTTAGCTATTTCATTCTCTGAGTGTTTTGTGGTTTTAGCAGTATCCTGCTAGTCATGAGTTGAAACCACACAGAGATACAATCAAGGAAGAAAACTCCATATCAAATCTAGGAATTCTTTCCCCAGTCAGCGCATTCCTTCACAACCGGACACCGATAATATTTACATCGTAGTCATGGGGTGTATATAACTTACCGCGCTTTAATGGCAAGATTTTTTAAATGCCTGCAGATAGGTCACATTTGAAAGTGAGCTTTTCAAGCGTGAAAAGGTGACTCGGTGACTCAAACGAGGCAGGTGACATTTAAGCAAAAGTAGCCTCAGTTCCTTCGGGGTTTTTTTTCCCCTATTTGCCCTTTTCTTGCGTCTTTCCCCGAAAAACCCTGAGTATTTATATAAGCATTCACTAACATTGAGTCAGGGTAACTTGAAATGATCAAAAGATGTCTTGACCGAAGGCAATTGAATTACGAAATTCACTGTTTAATAGCCACTAATTTTAATGAGTTTAGTCCATGAAGAATTAGGCGATCAGGGGCTGTTTGATACTTTATTAACGCCTAATCAAAAGGAGCATGTATGTTTTAAATGCAAGTTGCTAGCAGGGAGAAAGAGCAGGAGAGGGTTATTGTTCTCATATCCTGCTTGCAAGCTTCCAGATTCAGTCTGGTTGGTGATTCTGTGGTACCGATCCTTGAATTACAAGGACCTCTAGCCTGATCAAAAGGGTATCCTCATAATGTCTTTGTGTACCCACTTTCTATACAGTCTAGTGCTCGACTTACAACCACAGTTGAGCCCCAAATTTCTGTTGCTAAGCGAGACACTTGTTAAGTGAGTTTTGCCCCATTTTACGGCCTTTCTTGCCACAAATGTTAAGTGAATCACTGCAGTTGTTAATTCAGTAAACGGTTGTTCAGTGAATCTGGCTCCCCCGTTGACTTTGCTTGTCAGAAGGTCGCAAAAAGGGGGTCACATGACCACAGGATGCTGCAACAGTTATAAAAGTGAACCAATTGCCAAACATCTGAATTTTGATCAGAGGACCATGGGGACGTTGCAATGGTCATAAGTATGAAAAATGATCCTAAGTCACTTCTTTAAGTGCCATTGGAACTTTGAATGGTCATTAAACGAACTGTCGTACGTTGAGGACTACCTGTGTAATAGGTTGGTGAGAAAGCCATAGTCAAAAGAACGTGCAAAGTCCAGTGTTCAATTCTTGATAAATCTTGATAAAACTGCTTGAAACTCTAGTGCATTGATTCCACTCATTCCATAGCATGGATGAACATCTTATTCTAGGCCAGGGGTAGGCAACCTTGGCTCTTTTATGACTCGTGGACTTCAACTCCCAGAATTCCTGAGCCAGCATGGTTCAGCTTGGAAACCTCTCCCTTTCCCCTCAGCATGGCCGGCTCAGGAATTCTGGGAGTTGAAGTCCACAAGTCATAAAAGAGCGAAGGTTGCCTACCCCTGGCCTAGGCTGAGGGTCATAGACAGACTTCTGATGCATGACTGCACCACTTTCTTAAAGACGTGAAGAAAGTCATCTTTTGCAGGTCATATGTAACATCAGGATGTAGCTTACTGTAGTATCAGTGTGGTCTCTTGAAATAAGCACTATCAAATGGCATCTAAAGATACACTAGACCAGTGGTTCTCAACCTTTCTAATGCCGTGACCCCATAATACAGTTCCCCATGTTGTGGTGACCCCCAAGTGGGTGTGGCCACCAATAAGAGGGAGTAGGACAGCTAGGGAAAAGGGAAAAAATGGCGGACAGCCTTGTTTGGCGACCCACGTGAAATGGTCGTTCGACCCCAAATGGTGTCCAGACCCACAGGTTGAGAACCACTGCACTAGACACTTTTTTGGCACTCATCATGCTCATTACCTGATATTACTTTTTAGACCTATTTAAGATATTTACATTTTTTAAAAAAAGAGAAGCTGCTGTGCTGCAAAGCACCTGTAGCATCTTAAATGTCAAATTTCTTAAAAAGTAAACTTAATGGGCAACTGCATCTTAGTGAGTTGTTTAGAGGTGTATCCATTGCTGTGAAAAGAAAGGGACAAAGAAAAGCAGGAGTGGTAGGAAACCGCTGGGCCTGAGGAATTATAGTGGGGGTCAAGTGATATCCTGGGAAATCAGCACTTTGCAACTGGTTGTATTCCTCATAGCAGCCATGTTTTGAATGGGGAGCCCTTCCAGGTGTCATTGTGCAGTTAATAAAAGCAAAAGGTTCACCAGATGCCAAGTGCAGCTAACAGCTCAGTTGGGTCTCCTGCTGCATTGTGTACCTACGGTAGCTATAATTGCTTCAATTCCTTCCTGAATAAGCTCTAGCAAAATTCTGTTTTAAAGCTTAGAGTTATTAGATGATGGCTGCAGCCCAGGTAGATGGCTTCCTTTGAAGTATTGCAACAAATAATCGAATCAGCTTGCTATCTATGCATTCTAAAACAATGTTTGGTCTTCTAAATCAGTGGTTCTTAACCTTTTTGAACGAATCGCCCCCTTGAGCCAATGAGGAAGTTGTCATCGCTCCCCTCCCCCAACATAACCTCTCAATCACAACATAGGAAATAATTCTTCAATTTATGCAAACACTTGCAATTGCAAGAAAGTGAAATGCCTGAAAAGAAAAACAGTAACATTTAATGATTGAATTACAAGTAAAATTTAAGACGCAAAAAGAAATATAAAAAGGGCATAAAAACAAACCACAATACAGGAACTAAGAATTTCAAGACAAAAACTCTGAAACTAAATTAAGATTCAAGGAAAGTATAGGTCAGTGGTGGCGAACTTATGGCTCATGTGCCAGACGCGGCACTTGGAGCCCTCTCTGTGGGCACATGCGCTGTTGCCCCAGCCCCGCCTCCTCCCATGGCCCCCTCACCAGCAGCCCTCTGGAGGAGAGTCGCCCCTGGGCACGGCCCACACAATGCTGTGCAGCCAAGGACATGGTAGCCAGGAAGCGGGGACAAGACTCCGCCCTTGCACCCCATTGCGTGCAGATGATGCTGCAGGATATGGGTGGAGGGTGTGGCCACCATGGCGCTGCTGGGCTGCCTGGGTGATCTGTGGTGGGCTGTGGAGGTGGTGGGTGGTCCAGCGGGCACGGCAGAGCAGGGACAAGGGTGAGGAAGTGGTTTTGGAGCACTTGGTCTCTAAAAGGTTCGCCACCACTGGTATATATAATCACGCACACTGTAAAAAGGATTAAAAAGACACAAAGAAAATATAATATCGAACTGGAGTGCACGCTTAAAAAGTACAATACAAAGAGACACACAAAATGTTTTACAGAGCACAACAAAAATTCGAAAATGAAGCCAAAAACTCAAACTGGAATGTGAAATCCAATGCAAGCAAATATAATGATAAAAGCTCAGACAATTATTAACGAAAAAAATGTATGTACACAAAAAGCAAAAAAACCCAACATCAATAGCTGCCTTGTGCTTGGTGAGGTTATGCCAATTTCTTGATGTCTGGAACCATTTTTGTTAATCGCATTCTTAAATCACCGCGCTCAGAGATCTTCAACATGTTCCTTGACTTAGAAAGGAACTTAACTTCCTCCCACAATATTGGGTAAGTGTTCCTTATTTTCACCCAAAAAGCTTCGTAGCCGTAACTCTGAAAATGTGACTGGACTTCACAGTCATATTTCAGATCTGTCAGTGGCTCTTGCAGTTTGGGATGAAGTTGTGCAAAGTCTGCTGTGAAAGGATTTAACACCCAAGTGGGCACTTCCAGATTTATCAGATCATAGAATCTGATTTCCATATCTTCTTTTAGTTGTTTCAAGTGCCAGCAAAAAAAGTCCAGATCTTCTCCTTGGAGTTCACGTTCATTGCCAAGACTTTGGAACTGATACAGCTCCTGGCGACTCATATTGTTTGCAAGGAGGTCCAATTTGGAAATAAATGAGGAGATTACTCCTTTGGCCTTAAGAAAATTGATTTTATCTCCTTGCAGCTTTACGTTCACTTCATTCAGCTTGTCAAAAACATCAGCGAGATAAGCTACATCCAGACATCGAAGTTTAAGAGAACTGCTTAGATTTGGGTCAATGGATTCAAGAAATTCGACAACTATGTCAAAAAGTTTGTGGAATCGCCACAAACACTTTCCTTTTGAAAGCCACCTTACTTCGGTGTGCAAAAGAAGACATTCAAACTCATCATTTTTTTTCACAAAGCTTGTGAAAAGTTGGTTGTTCAAGGCATTCGACTTAATTTTATTCACAGCATTAATGACACAATGTAGAGACTCGTGCAAATGGCCACTCAAATTTTTTGAGATAAGGTGCTATCTATAAATGATGCAATAGACATAACTCCAGGTACAACCGATTTTAAATGAGCTTGAAATCCACGATATCATCCAACCATGGATGCAGTTCCGTCGGTTGCACATGCCATGACGTTTGTCAAAGGGATGTTTTTCTCATTAAAAAACTCTACAACCTTTTTAAATATCGAAAAACCTTTTGTGTCAGTGGCTAAATTTCAAACAAATAACAGTTCTTCCCCGATCTCTTCATTTCTGTTGATGAAACGGACATAAGCCAATAACAATTCTTCATTTTCACGAATCGTTGACTCGTCAATCTGCATCACGAATTCTGTATTTTTCAAGGTGTCAATAAGCCTTTCTTCCATATCAGCAACCATTTCATCGATTCTTTTTGATACAGTGTCATTGCTCAAAGGAATCGATTGCGTGATAGTGCTTGTGCTGGGCCACAACATGATGGCAACAATCTGTTTCACTGCTGGTAAAATCAGCATTTCTCCGATAGTGTGAGGTTTGCCACATTTTGCTATCAACAAAGATACTTCATAGGAACAAATGAGCCCCGTGTTGGCGTTGAGTGACGATTTTCCAAATAACTTCCCAACAGTGCTGCGACCCTCAAACTTGGCCTTTAAGGATTGGAAAAACGATGCCGGTTTGTCGGCTTTATCCGAATGAATTCTTACCAAATGGTCTTTCAGTCGGGAAGGATTCATCGCTTCATTTGAAAATGTTTTCTCACAAAGAAGACAAAACAGAAGCTGTATGTTGGAAGGAGATGGAATGAATCCCAATTTTAGGTATTCCGTCGAATATTGGCGACACTTCCTCTTCTCGGCCATGTTGAGAGGTCTTCGAAATGAAAGGCACTACCTGTAAATTAAATTTTCGACTGCACTGGAACACTAGAAAAACACACGTGGACGTCGATAAACCTAGTTTCAACAGTTACGTTGACATTACAGTTGACATCACAGGGGACAGCCATTCAGCATGCGATGTTTCGAAAGAAGCGCTCCCCCCTCCATCACTGCCCATTCTGGCCATTGGCGCGCCACTGCATGGGTAGAGGCTGCTGTGCAACGCGCATGAAGATAAGCGATGCATATTCATATATGTACGGCGTTCTGTACTGAAGCTAGCTGGAGGAACATTTGAAATCACAATTCAATCCACTAATAGCGAGCGATCTGATGTTTTTGTATGACAGATATACAGCGATTCACTGTATGAAAAAGTCTCAAAAGTGTCCTCAAAACGTCTCGCTCCATCGCCCCCATATTGCCCCCTTTTTGTTCCATCGCCCCCCCTGAAAAACGAAATCGCCCAGGTTAAGAACCAGTGTTCTAAATGATAGGAGGACTCAGACTTCACTCTGACAGAGCCATTGATAATAGCTAAACTACACAAAATGTGACACTTTTCTGCATGTGTTGCTAGACTGCCCAGTTTGTTTCCTGGTTAAGGAGGCTTTCTGTTCTCTGGATTGTAATGACTCTCCCCTCGCCCTTAAATAAGTGATTTGTCCACCTTTTGTACTTAGAGATAAATTTGGGCTACATCCTTGGTGAGGTCTGCCTTAAATGGAAGGAATAATCAGGTAGACGCTGACCTATGTAGAGTAATCTGAAGCTTGTTCATCTGCTTTTGTCTTCCCACAGAATCCCTTTGTGGGGTGGAGTGCTCATAACAATAGCTGATACCTTTGTGTTTCTCTTCCTGGACAAGTATGGTAAGCGCTTTTCCTACTGAAGCAGATTTCTTTTATTTCTTAAATAATCTCTTGATTGATGAGATTAAGGCTCTTTGATGTGTGGGAAGGGCTCTGCTTGCCACGCTCCAGAGAATTCACTTTGTGCACAAAGCTGGAAAGATTTTAACTTGATTCCTTTCAAAAATGACTTGCCATGCAGAGGAGACAATTATATGTGCGTTCTCCCTCTTTTTCTTTCATGTGCTAACCCAAATATATATCCCAGAGGTACTATGGGAGAATCTTGGGATTTTCTCCCATCCCACTTTCCCCCAGTGCTGCTGCCATCTTGCTGAAATGACTCAGCTTAGAGCCCCTTGGGCCTTGCCTGTATTAGCAGCTCTCTGGCAGCTGCAGTGGGAGAATTTTAGGTTTTATTCCCCCCCCCCCCCAGCCCTCTTAGAATGGCTGCTAAATCTGCAGTTCTTCCATTTAGGAAGGATTGCAGGCTCTTTATGGGAATTGTACCATTGATTTTAGTAGTAAGTTGTTGTTGTTAGTTGCAAAGTCGTGTCCGACCCATCGCGACCCCATGGACAATGTTCCTCCAGGCCTTCCTGTCCTCTACCATCTTCTGGAGTCCATTTAAGCTCACGCCTACTGCTTCAGTGACTCCATCCAGCCACCTCATTCTCTGTCGTCCCCTTCTTCTATTGCCCTCTTGCTTTTTCGCCCCATTGCTCCTGCGTGTGTGTGAGTGTTTCAAGATGATCTGTCAGATGGGTCTGAATGTTTGTCCAGGAAGGCTCTAGCACGCCCATTCCTGTCTCCACTTTTGTTGCCCCTCTCAGGGGATGCCCCAAGGCATGTTGAAAGGCTCCTTCCCGCCATTCACCACCAAACTCTCTGCAAGATGTGTACTGGATTCTATTCCACCCTTAATTAGCTCTCTTGCTCGTGTACGGACTCCCAATGGGGGGGGGGTCCCCTGTTTTTTCTATCGCTATACCCCTCTGGTCCTGTAAGGGGTGAATGAATTGCTTTCGTTGGGAATCCTGGCATTGTTTTTCCCACGTTCTCAGCATTTGGTGTGCTGAGCAGAGTTTTACATGGCGGTTTATAGAGTTCTCATCGGAAAGCCAAGTCTCTTTAAGTAGGCGGCCTCCCTTGGTGGTATCTCCAGACAAAATCTGTGCATTGGCAAGATCAAATGTGTGACCAAAATTGGTCATATGGGTCCATACCTGCAAATGTTGTTCGTGTCTTTTAACAGCCAGCGTGTGTTCATGCGTGTTCATGTATGTATGTATGTATTCCATTGTGATCATTTAATGAACAGAGCATATATTTCAATCTGGCTAAAAACAATCTTAATTATGTTAATTGGCAAATATTAATTTTCCTATTTATAGTGGCTGTGTGTCTCTTTTAGGTTTGAGGAAACTGGAAGCATTGTTTGGCTTCCTCATTACTATCATGGCTGTCACGTTTGGATATGAGGTAACACTGCCTTTGTGTATATATAGATCTTTAAAATGAACAGTGCAGCTTTTGAATCTCACATAAGCCTTTTCCTGTCTTTTGGGCAAAATACTCCCTCCAAAACTAAAGAAACATTTTGGGGCCAAACTTCATATCGCTGCATCGATGGGGACTTTTATAATGGGACTCTGAGCTTTGCCAAGGACGATGCTAATGCCAATGTCTTTTTTTTTTCCCCCTTGGATGCCTTCTCATGTGTCTTCTGCAGTATATAACTGTAAAACCAGACCAAGGGCAGCTGCTCAAAGGGATGTTTATGCCTTATTGTGAAGGCTGTGGGCCTGCCCAGCTGGAGCAAGCTGTTGGGATCGTAGGTGCTGTCATCATGCCTCATAACATGTACCTGCATTCTGCTTTGGTCAAGGTAAGTGTGGGTTTCCTCATGGAAGCCCTTTGCACCCATGTATTCTCTCTCTAATGCCATAGTGCAGAGATGGGGAACTATGGCCCTTTTATGACTTGTGGACTTCAAATCCCAGAATTCCTGAGCCAATTTCTTCTTGGACAATGGCCGTAATTTCACCACAGTTGGAAATTCCATGAGCGAGTTTTTCCTTCAGAATTTCCAGCTCATGAAGAGCACTAGAGTAGCAAAGAGAAACTCCTGGTTCTTCTTAAAACGACTCCCTCTACAGCAGAAGTTCCACAAGCCTCATTGATGTAGATTTGCTTGAGAGCCAGTGTGGTGCAGTGGTGAAGATGCTGGCATAGAGACCAGGAGACTGAATTCTAGCCTTCCCTTGGGCATGAAAGCCAGGAACTTTGGGCCGGTAGCTGTCTCTCTCAGCCCAACCCACCTCACAGGGTTGTTAGTTTGGGGGGAAAAAAATAGGAGGAGGGAGATTAGGTATGTTTGCCACCTTGAGTTACTTCTAAAGTAAAAAAAAAAAACAGGTAAAAATCTAATAAATAAGTGAAAGTAGCTGAAGATAGAAGGGAGAAGGTCATACTTCAATGAAGCTGCTTTTTGGTGGCTGTGTGAATCGGATTTTGCTGTTTAGTCTCGACAGGTGAATCGGGCCAAAAAGAAGGAAGTTTCTGAGGCCAACAAGTATTTCTTCATTGAATCCTGTATAGCCCTCTTTATCTCCTTCATCATCAATGTCTTTGTTGTCTCAGTCTTTGCCGAAGCTTTTTATAAAAAGACGAACCAAGATGTGGTGAGTTTCTTCCTTTCTTCTTTCATGTTACATTGTTGTTGTTGTTAATTGCGAAGTTGTGTCTGACCCATTGCGACCCCATGGGCAACGTTCCTCCAGGTTTTCCTGTCTTCTACCATCTTCTGGAGTCCATTTAAGTTCACGTCGACTGCTTCAGTGACTCCATCCAGCCACCTCATTCTCTGTCGTTCCCTTCTTCTCTAGCCCTCAATCTTTCCCAGCATTGGGCTCTTCTCCAGTGAGTCCTTCTTTCTCATTAGGTGGCCAAAGTACTTGAGTTTCAACTTCAGGATCTGGCCTTCTAAAGAGCAGTCAGGGTTGATCTCCTCTAGGACTGACCGGTTTGATCGCCTTGCAGTCCAGGGGACTCGCAGGAGTCTTCTCCAGCACCATAGATCAAAGGCCTCAATTCTTTGGCGCTCAGCCTTTCTTATGGTCCAACTTTCACAGCCATACATTGCAACTGGGAAAACCATGGCCTTGACTATACGTACTTTTGTTGGCAGGGTGATGTCTCTGCTTTCATATTACATTAGTAAGCAATAAATGCTCCTTTATATTTTCTAAGTAATTTTCTAAGTAATGGATTGCAAGGATTGTTTTAAATACTTAAAAAAAAATCCTTACTTAATTTTTTTTTGTTGCAATTTAAAAAACAAAGGGAAAAAACAATTAAAATAAAAACAGTAATACAGGTGGTCCTCGGGTTATGACCACTTTGTTCAGCGGCCATTCAAACTTAACAATGGCGCTGAACGAGGAGGACCTAAAACGGGTTCTGGCCATCACAGTGTCCCACGATCATGATTTGTGACATTCCCTACCGGCTTTCCGCATGCAAAATCAATGGGGAAGCCATCAGGAAGTTGGAAATTGCAGTTATATGAGGCCTTTGCTTAGTGACCCACATAGTATTTGTTTAATGATGGCAACCAGGACTTCTAGAACTGTTATCCCTAAGCCATGCAGTCACATGATATCATGCCTCAAGACTGCATGGCTTAGTGACAGCAACTCCGTTCCAAATTGCCAGCGATATTGCAATATCGAAACAAGTAAAGAAAAAATTAAACAAAAAAAATAACGTACCAAACTGATATAACTAATTATTCCAAATTCATTTAATCTGTTAATAATGTATCAAATTATCCATGAAATTGTCTATTTTTGTAAAATATAATCGTTTATGCCAAAGGGAAACATTCAGTATTATTATCATTTTTTGCTTAGTAGAAAAAACTTTATCAAAGATGATTTACATATTTCTTAAATCCAGTGTTTGATATCCGGTGTAATGCTACATTTCCAATCTCTCAATATAATTCCTTTAGCTATTCCCCATGCCCAGTATAAGCAATATTCTTCAAAAACGTTCAGGTTCCCTAATTTTGAAATATAATTCAAAATGACATTGATCTTTAATTTGAAAAGATTCCCCCATACAGCCACTTTTATATGTATGCTGTTTTAAAAAAAACTGTTAGAAGTAAAGTCTTCATCCTGGTTCATCCAAGCCGGGAATAAATAAGCAAACATGGCGACTGCTTTGGGAAGAAGGTTACAGTTTATTGCAGAGAGATGGTTCTTCAGGAAAGATCAGAGGAGAGAAGGGCTGAGCACATGGACTTGGGTTTTTTTTATACCCCCTCTAGACTTTTGTTTGGAATAGTTTCCTGTTCCTGTGGCATGAACTTTGAGGCTATTTCCTGTGTCCCGTATTCTGACCTGAGTTTAGGTGTGTCTCTATGGTATACTTGATGGTAATGGGTTAGTCCTATTATATCCCCAAAGTCATCTCCTGTTCCTGGGGCTGGGCTAATGACTCTTAAGAGTTTCTTTGTCTTGAGTTCCCTGGCTCCAACCTTCCTGATGGTCTTATATCTGCATTGCTATGAGGTTAGCTCTTGCTTGGGGCAAAGAAATTTGGGGCCAGGTTTGGTTTCTGCTTTTCAAAAAATCCTTTTGGTGAAAAATATTTTTTCCTTTTTAATATTTCCTTGTTGGGGGGGGGGCTAACTTCCCTCAAAACAAACAAACAAAAACCCAAAAACGGACATGACCAAATCATATGAGTTAATGTACTTTCCAATTTCTTAAGTGCTTCTTTCCTTTCCTGCTTAGTTACTGCCTCCCTTCCTTCAATCCAGCTTTGTTCCTCCATTTTGCCTCTCTTGCCAATGTTGTTAATAACTTTTCTTTACACCTACATCTGTATCCTGTTTCCTTCTTCATCTTGTTTGCACTTCTGATTTAAAAGAGGAGGATGAGTTGTGCATATACTCCTATGTTTCCGTGTGTTTGCAGGATTTGTATGTGAACCTCAGCTTCTCTTCCCCTGCTTTTAGGAGGGAGAATTAGTGGAGAGAATTAAACCACTACAGCAAGTACTGAGGATAATAGAATAGAACTCCCAGTAGGATTATCAGCTCCATGTAACCAAGACAGGATGCTTTGCAATAAATTAAAAGCAATAAAATTTGTGGTGGAAACAAGTAATCTGTCAAACACTCTTTGTCTCCCCTTTCCTGTTGCTTGGAAGGTAGCACCTGTCATATTCCCTTTTTGCTTGGGCTGGTCTTTCAAGACCAGTGAACAGATAAAAGAGCTTGAGGCTATACTGGAAGGACAGCCTCTTGTGTGTTTCAAGTTTCCTTGAATGCTATCAGTTGTTCCTCCTCCTCCTCCTCCTCCTCCTCCCTCCCTCCCTCCCTCCCTCCCTCCTCCTCCCTCCTCATCATCTCTATCTCCATTACAAGAGGGAAAGGTCAATGTAAACCAGAATTCTTGGTTGTTATTCTTTTAAAACAGTTTTGTGCCACAGGGGTCTCTTAGTTGTAACACAAAATGTCTACTTGTATGTTCACAGCATGACATCTGTGCAAACAAAAGCTTTGCCCAAGCTGTGCTGTTTCAAGCAGATAATAGCACCCTGGAAGTGGATATCTACAAAGGGGTGAGTGAAAAGCTTCACATGTTCAATTTAGCAATAGTTAAAGATCCATGTGTAATGGCTCTTGAATTTCCGAATCAGCCTTTGAATACCCTAAAGATATTTCTAAAACTTCTAAAACTTTACATTGGGAGGAGGGCAAATTCAGGTGGATCAATCTGTAGAAAAAGTACCTTCATCTACTAATTCAAAGATGGGCAGTACTGATGGACTTCCCAGTATCCTTTATCACTCTGGCCTTGCTAGCCAGAGCTGATGGGTCTTTCTGCTCTACTCTTGAACTGACTGTGCTGTGCTGAGAGAGAGGGGGGGGGGCTCATAACAGAGTAAGTGGGAAGATGAAACAGATATGTGAAAAGATCACAAGTTCTTCCAGTTCTGCCTTCATTAGCACTCTAAAGCAACTGAACCGGATGGAAGTTCTATCAGGAGACAAACATCTAAGTAGAGTAGCTCCAAATGTTTCAGTACCCAAATTGGCACTTTAGTAGTTACTTGCCTTCCGGGTATTTCTCTCAAGATCAAGAAAATATTTTTCAGTATAAGGCATTTGTGAACCTTCTGTCCCTACCATTCTGCAAAAGGCCATACTGTAGTCAGGTTATTTTGTTAGGTTTTCCATCCAGAGGAGCAATATAATTATCTGGCATGGGCTTATGAGCAAAGTGTTGTTCTTGGCCATGGTGATATTTTTGGGAAATAAGCATGTGCACAGTAACTATAGCATTCAGAGTCAAGTCTCTCTGAGTAAATTGGCCCTTGCTAATCCAAACAGTGATTTCACAAAGTGTCACTTTGCATTAGACTGCTGACATAGAAGGCTTAATCTAAGGTTTACAGCTTCATTTTTTTTAAAAGAACTCTTTTGTGTTTTAGGGAGTAATTCTAGGTTGTTACTTTGGCCCTGCTGCTCTCTACATCTGGGCTATTGGCATTCTTGCTGCAGGACAGAGCTCAACAATGACAGGAACTTACTCTGGACAGTTTGTTATGGAGGTATTTTAATCTTTTAAAATGTTGATTTACATTTGACTTATCTTTCCAGTCGATATCCCTATAAGTTCTGCAAAATTAAAGTGATAGGAATCTAAGGATGTCGTCCAAGTGGCTCAGTTCCCAGATGCCACAGCCAGGAATCTTTGTGGTATGGACACTTTCTTTGTGAGAAAAATTGTATGCGGACATTTTCTCTTTTCAGTTGGACAGTTCGTGTGATCCCTAAGCAATGTATTTGTCCTCCCTCCCTGACTGTTGTGGTGTCTTGTTTTGTAAACAGATTTTTATGCAGCGACCAAGTGATGCTGAAAACTATCATTGTTAAACTGAAGCAAGGAAATAAGAGATGAGCAACTTCAGAAGGATTGGGAGCACGTCTATTAAAGCTGCAGAGCTTAGGATGTGATTTCTAAAAGGGGCTTCAGCATGTGTCAAGACTGTGGGGATAGCATCTGTCTGTAGTTCCTTCAAAAGCTAATTGTGCAAAACTAGGAGAAGATACAGCTGTTTTAAAGGGTTGTTGACTGATGCTACCTCCATGTTCCCAAGCATGCAAAAGGACCTTTGGAAGTGGAATCCAAAGTGTTACCCAGCCCTATATCTGGGATATGGGGATGGATTAGTGGTGGGATTCAGCCGATTAACACTACTTCGGCAGAACCGGTAGCTAATTTTTTGTTGCCCAGGCCCAGAATGAACTTCCGGAAGCGGCATCCACACAGAGAACCGGTTGTTCACATATTTTAATCCCACCACTGGGTTAGATGAGGGGTATCTTTTCAGGCAATTAAAGGACACCATGCTGGGTAAAATGCCCTCTTTAGATTAACCTGTGGAGGAAATGCCATTCAAGTGTTTTCCTTATGACACTAGTTAGGCTGTCATTCATCAAATCTCTTTGCCTTTGTATAAGTTCAGTTGTTCATAGGGTTCCCAAAGATTTCAGCCTACCATTTCCCTGGTCCTGTGCCCTCTTCACTTCTGCTAGTTGTGCCCAACTAACAATTGTCAATCCAAAGCAAACTACCTACTTTCGTTTTCTGTTAATTAAATTAATTAATTTGGAATTCAGTTTGCAAAGAATTTCCATTAATTAAAATAGAATAAATTAGGTACTTAAACAAATCAGGAGGGTCCAGATTTAGCAGTAGAGTGGTTTTATGTGTAGGTCTGATCAGCAGCAAAGACAGATAAGACTGGGAAAAAGTCCCATTAAAATCCCCCCAAAACTGCTACCTGCCAAGGCTGACAGCCCTGGATCAGATGGACCAGAAGGAGACCATTTGCTACAATCCTGCATTTCTCTTTTTGTTAGGTTGAAACAGGTCACACATAGCTAAATTTCCTTACGCCTTGGTCAAACCACTGATAAGTGGTCAAGTACACCATCTGGCTTTGATGTAATGTCCAATAAATTGAAAGTATTTAGTATTATCTAAGGGCATGTTCCCATTCTTCATAACAACACCCCCCCCTCAAAGTAGGTTAGGATTAGGCAGTATCAATAAAAGGATCTGGGTATATTTGTCATTGGACCATAGGTAGGGTTGATTCCCTGCAATTTATTACTGTGAAAACAAGCTGCAGAAACTTTACTTGCCCCCAACTTGCTCTTTGCTGATGAATCGTGAGTCTCATTTAGAGATCTGCAAAAAACAAATTATCAACCTGGAAATAGAACATTCTGGAGAACTCTACAATGTTCCTCCTCTCTCTGCCGAACCCCCTCCCAGTTTCCAGGGGCAATTTGAGGGTTTCCAGAAGGAAGTCCTCGGTACCGGAAGCAGCTTTGGATGAAACAGAATGGGCTTCAGGACCAGATCCAATTAATTTTAGTTTAGAAAATTTAAATTCTGGACACTTATCAAACTGCCTCCTGCAAGAAATGATCCAGGAGGAGAGTGGGCATAATATGGAAGAAAACATTCCAATGTTCTTCAGAATTTTCAATTCCTGGGTTAAGAATTTTGCATATCTCTAGCACTCATGTGTTTCAGCCCTTATTATCGAACCCAACATTGTTTAGAATAAGCTGTGCTTAGGTTTAATTCCAAAAAGGGTGCAAATGTTGCAGCTGAATCTTTTTCCACAATTGCCCAGCAACTGCAGAGAGCTCTGAAGTGTGTTGCACAGCAAGACGGTTTGTGTTCTCAATACAATTCATTTGACAACTGCAAAAATAACTGCTTTAGGCGGAACAAGGCCTCTCTGGACCTTGCCAGGGACCATTTGATTTGAGTATATATTTTATTCATTTAACTTTATTTGTCTCACTCTAACCCTATTTTACCTCAGCCTTAGTTTATAAATTTAATTCTGCTATTTTACTCTAGTCTGGTTAATAACTGCAAAAGTACTTTGACTTTGACTGCAGAAAATAAAAGAGGTTGTGAAATTTGTAGTCAGACATGTTTTCTGCCCCAGCAGGAGATACTACTTTTCCTCAGTAGACCGTGTCTTGTCTGAATGGTTCTGATCTCTTCCTTGTTTTCAGGGATTCCTTAATCTGAAGTGGTCGCGGTTTGCTCGTGTGGTTCTAACCCGCTCCATTGCCATCACTCCAACTCTTCTGGTTGCCATTTTCAAAGATGTGGAACACTTGACCGGCATGAATGACTTCCTCAATGTCCTCATGAGTTTACAGGTAGGGGCTCTAATTAGCCGTGGTTCTTCTCCCCAGAACGGGTAGGCAACCTTGGCTCTTTTATGACTCGTGGACTTCAACTCCCAGAATTCCTGAGCCAGCATGGCTCAGCTTGGAAGCCTCTCCCTTTTCCCTCAGCATGGCTGGCTCAGGAATTCTGGGAGTTGAAGTCCACGAGTCATAAAAGAGCCAAGGTTGCCTACCCCTGCCCCAGAAAAAAAATAGTAGGGGTTTCGTCTGGGCAGTAAGGCAGAGAGTCTAGATCCAATTCCATGATTTGCACACACACACAAAAAGATATAAACAAAAAAGGATAACTACTACAGATAGTCCTCAACTAATGACCACAGTTGAGCCCAAAATTTCTATTGCTAAGTGAAACATTTGTTAAGTGAGTTTTGCCCCGTTTTATGACTTTTCTTGCCACAGCTGTTAAGTGAATCACTGCAGTTGGTAAATTAGTAACACAGTTGTTCAGCGAAGCTGGTTTTCCCCATTGATTTTGCTTGTCAGAAAGTCACAAAAGGGGATCACATGACTCCAGGACACTGCAACCGTCGTAAATATGAATCGGTTACTAACATCTGAATTTTAATTGTGTGACCGAGGGGATGCTGCAAATGGTCATAAATGTGGAAAATGGCATAAGTCACTTTTTTCAGTGACATTGTTGCTTTGAACGGTCGCTAAATGAACTATTGTAAGTCGAGGACTACCTGTACTGTCAATCCAGTGAAGGATGTTTGGCAAGTAAATGCAAATAATTTGAGGCAGTCTAACAATACTAGCCTCATTTTTCCCCTGCAAAGAAACAAGGAATGAGTGAATTCAGTGATATTAGAATGGCAACAAAAAAAAACCTTACTTAAAATCAATGGCTCACCCAAACGATTCTACTGAAAAAGTCCTGAAGATCCTGTTGTTGTTTTTTTTTGTCACTTAAGGATTAAAGTCTTGTGCTAGCATGCAATGGGATATTTGAGGGGTCCTTGGTGCTCTCTGGGCTTTCTTGCAGATGTTTTATTACCCAAACTAGGTAACATAATCAACTAGAACTGATTAGCACTGATGAGGTTACCTAGTTTGGTTAATGAAACATCTGCAAGAAAACAACAAAGCTCAGAGATCACCAACTCTGAGCTACAATTATTCTCCTTTAAGGGGATATTTTTCATGGCCTCCTGTAGCTCTTGACTTTGCTCTCCAGAATTATGTTATAAATATTATCTAAGCTTATCCAGGAGTATTAATTCGGTTTTCTTGGGCTGATAGCTGGAAGGGATTTGGGTCCTGAGAAAATCCATCTCATATTGATTTTGTTTACATCAGGGCTACATTATGTGAAGCAGAGAGATCATTTTATTATTTTGTGAACTAGGAAGGGGTTCCCGCCCCCCTCAAGGACAGCTGCTGCCCCTTGCAGATTAGAAATGGTGTAGGAAAATGCAAAACAAAAAAACGCTAGGATTGGGCTACCTGACTTGTAAGCCTTGCATAAGAGCCTTCTTTTGTAGCTGTTCTTCTGTTAAGAAGTGGACTTTTTTTTCCCAATGAAATTAATAAATCAGTGAAAATGCAGTTAATGCAGTTAATTAAATTTGATGAATCAAGAACATTTGGACCCTCCTTAAGCATACAATATATCAGCGGCAAGTGGAAATGTCTTTTCAGCGGTTTGGGAATTATCAACGCTAATCATAAGGGATTGGCTGTCCTGTAGTGAAACAAGGCTTGTGAATAGCCTAATGCGCCAAACCAAAGCTAGATCTTAACTTGTGAATCATTCTAGTTGAATTTCTGCTTTTTTATGCCTGCCTTTTCTAAGGCAATAAACCATAACTATGGCAAATCCGGTTATCTCCCTTTCCTCTTGCAATTTTCTCAAATGTTTATTTCCCAGTAGGAAGCTTTCCCAGCTTGTAATTTTGAAGCCACTTAATACTCTCACTTCATTATTCATTCTCCGCTTTTATTTTCTCCTTTGCTTGAACGTAGAAACATACAATACTGAACTTCTGATTCATATTCAAAAGCTAGAGCTAAGCCATTCCCAAGATGAATAGAATAGAATAGTATAGAATAGAATAGAATAGAATAGAATAGAATAGAATAGAATAGAATAGAATAGAATAATATTTATTGTCATTGTGTACCCCACAACGAAAATAAGTGCTGTCCACAATGCACACTTTACACAAGTAAAAACTACAGGTAAAAAAAAAACATATTATATACACACATCCTTCACATTCTATTCACCATTGCGCTGCCCCTAATATGTTGCACTATACCAGTGGTTCTCAACCTGTGGGTCGGGACCCCATTTGGGGTCAAATGACCATTTCACGGGGGTCGCCAAACAAGGCTGTCCACCATTTTCCCCCCTTTTCTTTGGCCACGCCCCTGGTACCTGGTGATGTATAAGTGGTTGGGGGTCACCACAACATGGGGAACTGTATTATGGGGTCGCGGCATTAGAAAGGTTGAGAACCACTGCACTATACAGTAGTATTTAATATGATTACAGCTCTGGCTTTAAAAATTATTTTTTGTAGAGGGGGAAGGAGAGGGCAGCCAGTAATCCTCCGTGCGATGGTAATGACTCTCTGGAGTGCTTTCCTATCTGCTACTGTGTAGGTGGCAAACTACACACAAATGCAATAGGTTTGAATGCTCTCTATGGAGCAAGAGTAGAAGGTCACGGGCAGTTTTTCATTCAGTTGTTGTTTCCTGAGAAGTGTCAAGAAATATAATCTCTGCTAGGCCTTCTTAACCAATGCTATATCATGAGCACTCCAGGTCAGGTCCTCCTTTATGTTAACACCCAGAAACCTAAAGCTGGCCACCTGTTCCACATAGTCTCCGCTGATGATCAGGGACTGAATGTCTGATCTATTCCCTTTATGATTTACTATAAGCTCCTTGGTCTTAGTGGTGTTGAGAACCAAATTATTGTCTCTGTACCATAAGAGCAACCGCTCCACCGCATCCTGGTAGGCAGACTCATCCCCCTTGGAGATAAGCCCCACCACTGTTGTATCATCTGCAGATTTAACAATAATATTGCTGGGATGAGTGGGGGTACAGTCATAAGTGTAGAGCAGGGATGTCAAACTGCCGGCCCGCAGGCCGGATGTGTCCCGTGGAAGCCACGCTCACCCCATTGCCGGCAATGGCAAAATCGGCCCGATACGTTGCGCGACGTCACGTGACGTCGTGAGTTTGACATGCCCGGTGTAGAGGGTGTAAAGTAGGGGGCTCAAAACACAGCCCTGTGGGGAGCTAGTATTAAGAATAAGGGCTGAGGAGATATAGTTGCCTAATCTAACCCTCTGAGAGCAGCCAGCCCGGAACTTCATAATCGAAAGGCAGATTGAATGTGAAAGTCCGATGGTTGACAAGTTTAGACATCAATGTGTATGGGAGAATTGTGTTAAATGCAGAGCTAAAATCTACAAAGAGCATCCTTACCTAGGTCCCCCGCTGCTCCCGATGAGTCAGAACAGTATGGAGAGTGAAGGCTATGGCGTCTTCTGTAGAAGATTTGAGATGAGGGGTGAGGGAGAGAGACCACTCTTTGTCTGATTGGGGAGTGCTGATCTTACCAGATTGGATGTTGCCTTTATTACTGAATGTTTTTCCTAATATTGAACAAAATTTACTCTTCTGTAACTTAAAAGCCATTAGGTCCAATCCTGTCCTCTCTCTGAGTTGCTACATTGAACTACCTGCCTAATTGGAAACTGAGTAATGCTGCTGTTTATTTCTCCTTCCCCCTGTTTTGTTCCCCATTGTCCGAGGTCAGAAGAGTATGGCAGAAGGGTCTGACGTGACGTTGTTAACCTTGGAAAGAGCTTTGGGAACGTTGGAAATAGGAAAGAAATCTGAATGTGTCCTCACTATAAGATGGATTGTCCACACCTAAGTGCCGTCTGTATCACACCTTATTGCCATGGTTGCCTACATGCAGCCATCTAGTTTGATGGGGGCCTTGGTGTAAAGGGACAATAGTGCTTCTGTTCAGTTCTTAGAAGATGCTACATTCGGCCCTGAAAAACCTTCAGCAGTTAACGTGAGGAAAAAAGCTTGAGTGAATAAGTCGTGTTTTGGAACCGTTTTCAGCTTTTTGCATTTGCAGTTCATTACTACACCAGCTTTTACTTTGTATGCAGATAACCAAAGACCCCTTTCTGGTGCATAATTTCCTTCTCTTCCTTTCCAGCTACCCTTTGCTTTAATCCCAGTGCTCACGTTCACAAGTCTGCGTCCAGTGATGAATGACTTTGCCAATGGCCTGTAAGTATGAAGTGTTGTCCACATCTGGAATGTGTTGAGTGTTATATTTGATTAAGCTTAGCTGTTTCCTTAACACACATCTCTGAGGTTTTTTTTTCCCATTGTCACCATGTAACAGCATGGCCTGCAATGACCACCTATATTTTAAGCACATTGTGTCCATTCCAGGAGATAGACCAGACTTAATACCAAAGTCACAAATATTAAAACTACTTTTATTATGTTAGCAGAATCTTGCAATTCTGAATGTACCTCCCCTCTCACTTTATCCTAAGAGAACTGTGTGTGTGTGTGAGTGTGTTTGTGTCAAGTCTGAGATGTTTTTTTCAAATTACATTCCCAGTTTGGACCCTGATTTTTCTTACCTGACCATTGCTTTAGTGAAGCTATTCCTCAATGTTATTCTCACAGCCCATTACACACTGAGAGTGCACTTCCTTTCTGTTTTCTATCTGCCAACGGCAGAGTAGAGTTTGTATTATAACTAGCATGAACACCAGAATCTATTCATTTGCAATTATTTTTCAAAAGATGGAATTTAGACTAGCAGATCATACACTAGCGCAAAATCTGCAGATGGACGCTTCTTCTTTTTCAGGGTAAATATCGCCCCGAATCTGCACTTGGCTGTAGATTTTATGACTTTTTGCAGATTGGCAATTGACATGCAGGATTTCTAGATTTGCTATATAAACATCTTAGAGGATCAAAATGCTTTTCAGTAACGGAAGAAGAGCTTGAATCCATGCCTAACTATCTCACGCCTAATATACAGAAAGAAACATTTGCACATTTGTTATAGCAGTAGCACTTGGACTTATATACCGCTTCACAGTGCTTTACAGCCCTCTCTAAGTGGTTTACAAAGTCAGCCTATTGCCCCCAACAATCTGGATCCTCATTTTACTGACCTTGGAAGGATGGAAGGCTGAGTCAACCTTGAGCTGGTGAGAATCAAACTGCTTGGCAGCCCACCACCACGGCTCGTCCTTATGCTTTTGCCAAAGATTGCATTATTTTCCTACTGTAATCATTGCAGCGTTTCAATCCACAGACGTCTACATTATTTGGTGTGTTTTTTTTAAAATCCCACAAGGCACTGGTTTCGGTAGTTTTATTTATTGTGCAATTTATTTTGGAAACGTCGGCTAAAAAATAGGAGTGCAAGATTCCTGGGCGATGAAGTGCCGAGTGACAGTGCAATTTGTTTAGCATGCATGAGGATTGTATCTGTGTCTGAGGACTGGAAGATTTGAAAGCGAATATATGAAAGATCTAGACTGCCAGCCTGTGGGATGGATGCGTCATGCCGAAACCGCGCCCACCCCAGCTCCGGCAATGGGGAAAAAGTCACCATACATCGCGGCACGTCATGTGACGTGGCGAGTTTGACACCCGTGATCTAGACGGCTGTGTTTGTCAGGGAAAATGTACTGAATGATTGAAGTTTTATAACTAAATGTTGAAAAAAAAAATCAAAGCAAAAAGTTGAATTTGGGTACATCTTTTAAAGATAGGGAAATGTTTGAAGAAGATGTAAGACATGCAAGTGCTGGTAGAAAGGTAATGTTTTTTAGCAACATATGTACAGGTAGTCCTTAACGTACGACCACAGTTGAGCCCAAAATTTTTGTTGTTAAATGAGACATTTATTAAGTGAGTTTTGCCCCATTTTACAACCTTTCTTGCCACAGTTGTTAACTGAATCACCGCAATTGGTAAGTTAGTAACCCGGTTGTTAAGTGAATCTGGCTTCCCCATTGACTTTGCTTGTCGGAAGGTCGCAAAAGGGGAATCACCTGACCCCAGGACACAGCAACCGTCATAAATATGAGTCAGTTCTAAAGCACCTGAATTTTGATCACATGATCATGGGAATGCGGCACAGGTTGTGAAAAACGATCATAAGTCACATTTTTCAGTGCCATTGTAACTTGGAACGGTCACTAAATGAACGGTTGTAAGTCGAGGACTACTTGTAGTACGGTGCAAAGAATGAGGATTTATTGTTTTTTGCCCACTATGCTGTGTGGAAGTGAGGGATGGGTACGTCAAAATAACTGAAATCCAGTCAGAAATGAGGAACTTAAATTGTGTATATGTGTTTGTCAACAGTTAGTCCTAAGTAGTTATTCCCGATCCATTTTCTTCTCTTTGTAATTTTTTTTTTGGTCTTCTAGGGGCTGGAAAATCGCTGGGGGAATTCTCATTGTGATCATCTGCAGCATTAACATGTACTTTGTGGTGATCTATGTGACTGCCCTAGGACAAACAGTGTTGTATGTATGTGCTTCAATTATCAGCATTCTCTACTTGGCCTTCGTGGCATATCTGGTGAGTTAGTGATGGCTTACATGCTCTTGCTTTCCTCACAGGGGTTTTCCCATGTTCTCTTAGCAGTGATTTCTTTAGGGATTTTTCTGTTTTTAACAAAGGCAGCGGTCAGACTGGGTCATAAGAGACGTAGAATAGTCCCTTGGATGATGCCAGAGCCCATTTTTTTTTAGGATGGTGTTTGGTTTCTCACAGTAGCCATCCAGATAGGAACCAACTTCCAGAGGTGTAGTGGGTCAATCATCAGCAACTGAGTTTAAACATACATGGGATAAACAGGTGTCTATCACCTGAAATTAATTAATTAAAAAGAAAACAAAAAACAAACAAAACACTCAAAGGGCAGGGTCAGTGGTCCACTGGGTCTTTTTCTGCCATCAGTTTTCTATGTTTCTATGTTACCTGCCAGGTACCTCTGCCTTGCTGTGGTCCACTGCCACTGATATTTACTGAGTCAGTCAGTAAGCAGCCATCCCCCACAGACCTGTATTCCATGAATTCACTCAGTCCTCTTTTAAAGTCAAGTTAGTGATCATCGCCATATCCTATATCTTATGGCAATGAATTCCCTAGGTTAACAGTGCATTCCTTTTTTTCTGTTTTAGCTGTCCCTTCAATCAGTTTCATTAGATGACCCTTATATACTGAGAGAGGGAGTAACAATTATCTTGTCCATTTTTTTCCATAATGTAATAAACCTCAATCAGCTCCTCTTCTGTCACCTAATTTTGAAGCTAAAGAGTCCCAAACAATCCACTCTTTTCTCATAAGGCATGTGTTGGAGTCCCCTTACACCAGGGGTCTTCAAACTTGGCCCTTTTATGACTTGTGGACTTCACCTCCCAGAATTCCTCAGCCAGCTGAGGAATTCTGGGAGCTGAAGTCCACAAGTTATAAAAGGGCCAAGTTTGAAGACCCCGCCTTACACTTTTTCTAGCTCAAATACATCCTTTTTCAAAAATGATGCACAGAACTCTACCCAGTATTCCAGATGGTTTGTATAAGGGCATTATACATGTTGACAATTTTATTTCCCTAATGAACAAAAGTATGAAATATGTGGTTTTTTTTTTTGTTTTGTTTTTTTTTTTTTTTTTTTTTTTTTTAGAGCTGTTGTTCATTGAACAGTCCCCTTGACCCATCTACTATGGCTCCAAAATAGCTACAGGCAGCTTAGTTCCATCAATGGTTGTGTGCAGTTGAGGCAGGATTTTTTTTTTTAATATAAATTTTTTTGCAGCCCATTTTACCACAGGGTAATTCTGGCCAGTTATCTAAATATCATTTTACACTTATATAAAGTTAACCACATCTTCCATTTGATTGTCCATTCATTCACCTAGTCTACAAAGAATCTTCTGAAGTTCTTAGTCAGAGTTATCTCAAACGTGCTTTTTTATATAAATATTTTATTAATTTTCTAGTTTTACAATCAAATACTTAATAGACAATGTGTTGTCTGGGTCCATTAGTAATTCAGTGGTATATATTAACTTCTTCAGTCTAGGTGCTTTTTCACAAGGCAACTGGACTTACTTGTTTTTTTCTTTGAAGATGTTTCACTTCTCATTCAAGAAGCTTCTTCAGCTCTGACTGGATGGTGTAGATGAATGAAGGCTTTATACTCCTTGCAGACAACTGATCATTTGCATTCTTTTAGAGAGTCATTGAGGCCACCTGGAGTTTTATCTCAGGGTCACCTGAGTAGTGCAAATGGGTGTGGGGCCTTCTTGGAAATGCTGAAAGGATGTGTGGTAGACTGGAGATAGATGATGTCATGTCCCATTTGCATCATGAAAAAGTTGCCTCATGAAAAAGCACCTTTGGGATAACTATGGCCTGGGTGACTGAGAATCTCCATAGACATTCTTAGTCAAAGCCTGTTGGCATTGATACCCTTCTAAACTAAAGGATAGCAGTGTTCAAATAATGCATTAGGGCAGGGGTAGGCAATCTTGGCTCTTTTGTGACTCGTGGACTTCAACTCCCAGAATTCCTGAGCCGACTGTTACACTGTAATAAAGGCTTTTAGGATAAACAATGCCTGGAAGTTCTTTGAAGTGTTTCATTAGTCGGAACTATGACATCTAGTTTTCTATCATGCTCCAATAAAAGTCTGATCACATTTTGTTTAGTTACTGTATATCAGTTACCTTTTTTCTTTAGTTATATACAGTTACCTTTCTCCCTATTCCTCTTTTCAGAAACACATATATTCTCTTAGAGAGGAAATGAGCCACAATTGTGCAGAGTACGAGAAGACAAGGCAGCACATGTACTTCTAGAAAATAATGGCTATGTAATTCAGTGGTCTTGTTGGAAAAACCTCTAAACCCAATTCTGGGTATTTGTCTTGTCAAGTGATTCAGAAGAAACAGCCAGGATGTTTGGTAGGGATAGGGAGGGGCAGTTTAGAGCTAGTTCTCAGTAACTTCAACTGCAATTGATGGGTTTATCGCACAAGCAGTAGTCTTGAAGGGAAGACTCTTTCCAACCTCTCTCGCTTGCTCCCCCCTCCCCCTAAACTCTCACTCCTGGTGATATCTACCTATATTAACAAACAAAATAAGGATCAAAGAAACAGCTTGGTTGTAACTGTCAGCCTAGAAAACTCAAGGACATCCAGTGGAATCATGAACAAGGGGCAAGCATATATTACAGTTGAGGAATGTCACCTAGTTAATATTGTCTGGTCATGTAATCACAATTTGGGTGTTCGGTGACCAACTGCAGTTATAATATTACAATATCTTGCAATTGTGCCCTTCTTGACAGCTTTTCACAAGCAAAGTCAATGAGGAAGCTAGCAGGAAATCAGGGTGACGTGGGATCCTTGCATAACAATGGCAGCTAGGACTGCTAGAACTGCCATTGCTAAATGTCGTGGTTACTTAGTTTAATGGCCACATTGCTTGGTACTGGGGTTTCTATCCCAATTACCTTTGTTAATTAAGGACTACCAGTATTAGAGTAGAAATGTCTTGGGAACAGAAGAACTACCTTGCAAGCTCAAACCAGAGCCTCCATTTAGCCTACTATTTGTTTTACTTGGGCCAGCCACGTGACCAGAAAGCTCACAGCTTGGAAATGAAGACAGCTGGTGTCCAACAAAAGCCCATGCTTGGAGAAAAGGAAACAACCTAAGAGACATCCAAAACAATCTCTCAGACACACTGGGACAGGGTTGAGAAATCTGTAGCCTGGCAAATAGTTGCTTAATTACAATTCCTAGCATTACACGTTGACTAGAGTAAGTTTTGTCAATCAGCATATGGAGCATCACAGGCTTGTTTTGTTGAATGACTGCAACATGTGTTAAGCTTGATTAAAAACAGCTTTAATAATTTGTGTGAGTTGGTTCCCAATCAAAGAGCTTCTTATCCGGTATGGTTGACTAGGAAATTGGTAGGAATAAAAAAAAGCATCTATTTATAGATGATGAATTTTAGGTTTGCAGCTGGTAGGAAAGGGTAGATAGGGAGAGTCATAAAAATCTTCCCACAGAAGATAGGGTGAAATAAGTCAATCAGGTTTGTTTCTTGACATGAATAATAGCAAGTGCAGCAAAGTAAGCACTTCAGGGTTTTTTTTTTTCCCTGTCAATGCTGTACTTCTCCATGACCAGAATCAGAATTATGTGTCATTTCTGGCTCATATTTTGAAGTCTGCCTGCTGATGCTTCTCTCTGAAATGATTTTGGGAGACAGAACAGAATTGTAGGGATGGTGGGGCTTCATAGAACAGAGCGGGAGGAGGGATAATAGCGATGCTTCTTTGATTTGCTTGAGGGGAAAAAATACTTTAGTCTTTTAATAAATGCACCATTAATTGGGGATTCTTCTCTCTTTTTCAGAGTTGGCAGTGCTTAATTGCTCTCGGAGTTCCCTTCCTGGCTTGTGGGCATACGGTAAGAGTCACAAGAACTTTGCTAACTGAAGATCCGCCTTCAGCGGCAGTTAATTAATCACTGTGTCTACCGCAGAACAAGTAGCCATCAGGGCCAGTGCGTTTCTATGGTTTACTTTGTAAACATATCCAAATGTATGTGCAATTTTGCACAGTGTTAAAATTGTGATAATGGTGTTTAAAAATTATTGGATGTATATATGAGAAAAGCTTATGTGTATTTTTCGTTAATCCTCAACAATCACACTCGGGAGAAAAATTAATTGATTCTCTTAGCATTAGTTCTCCGTGGAGATCGCTCTGTACGCTGCTAAAAGCTAAGATACTTTATAATTTAACCAAGAAGCTAATATTTCACTCCCGTTGAGACTCATCGGATTAATGTTAATAAATCGAATGGCATAAAAATTACATGTCATAAATTGCCCTTTAATGGAATATTTCTTAACATCTGTAGTAGGAATACAGATATCTTAAGTTTACTAGTTGAAAGCAACCATTCTTTGGAACTCAGGAATTCATCTTTGTTCACATTCTATGCTTCAAGTGACAAAATAAATTTCTGATGAGGCAATAAAACTATGGGTGGGGAAAGTATCTACCTGCCTTAAAAAAAAAGAGAGAGCAAAAAAAAAACCCCTCCTTAAATCCTAATCATTGTCAAGCTTGTTTTCTATATGTCAGGTTTTTTTTCTCCCAGAGGACAGTATTCGAACTCAGAGTTAAGACTTTATCAGCAGTGCTAGATAAATCACTATCAGTGAATGAAGAGGAGCAAAAATCTGGGGGCAAATAGCCCACCTAATTAATTGAAACCCATAGATCTTTGAGTGATTACATAAATTGGCAAAGCTGGGGCTGTATTCCGAGATCAAGTGGCCTCTGTGCCAACAACAAGTCTCTGTGATGCCAGGCTGATCCGTTTCCCAGCTAAGGTGCAGCAGACATTGCAAAAATAACAAAATAACAAAAATAATGACTTACAAAAAGTGGACACCTTATGGTCAAACAGATGGTCAGACTCTTTAAGCATTGGAGTCGAAACAACGAAGACCTGCATGATTATAGTGGAGAGATGAAGCCTGGTCATTAATTGCAGAGAAACCGCTTGCTTATAAGATCAAATCTAGATTTAAAACAGAAGAATTGTGTTCAGCGTTTACAAATACTTCCCATTTGTATTTGTGTGTGCTTTCATCCTCATTTGCTCAAGCAAGATAGTATTTGTATTTCCTGTCATTCTTTATGGCAGGCATGTTTATATTAAGGAAGGGTTTCTGGCTGTCAAATTACTTATCTATGGGAATATGAACCTTTTCCTTTAGCCAGAAATCTTCCCAGTATGAAACATAAGCATCCATTTTAAAAGCGTATGCTCAGCTAAGAATGTGACTGTATGTTATAACTGGCTCGATCTTGCTCCCTCTTGTCATTTTCACTAATGATTTACCTGTGTTTCTGTTGGTTGGCCCATTCCTCAAACAGTTGTTAACAAAGCATTGCAAAATCTTTCCTGATATTGTGCTCTCAGGGAAGGGACAAATATCAAGAGATAGAGAGATCATATAAAGAACCAAGAACATTTCATTCCTGAGCTTTTGGTCAAGATGGACGGCAAATAGCTTTTAATCCATGTCTATATTCTTCCCCAAGGACCTTATTTAAAGATCTTACTATCATACTTACTTACTTAAGCTTGCGCAGTCTTCCCTATCAGGCCTCTATAAGATGTTGTGTTGGGGCTACAATCCCAGAATTCCCAGTCTTTGCAACCAGTAAGCAAGATAACAAAGAATTCTGGGATTTGTAGTTCTGCCACAAGTAGGAGCAGCCAAATGAGAAAAAAAAACCTGGATTTTCCTACCACAATTTGAGCAGAACCACCTTCATAAAGTACAATATACTTTAAAAAGAAGGTCCTTCCCGAGTCTGAATGGAGGGGATTGAGTCTTTAAGAGCGGCATTGAGCAATAATTCAGCCTACGCCAGCCTGACACTATACAGCTCCTATGTTCCCCATCACATCTGCAGGGAAAAGGTTGGCGAAGACTCGCTTGCAAATCATACTACTGATGACCAAATGCAACCTTGTGATGAAATTAATGTTTACTTGTTTACTTTGCTATAGTTGAGATGGAGGTACTAACTTTTTGATATGTATGTTGTGAATTATCTTTCAAATTCTGAAGAAATTCCTAATTTAATTGATTTGAACAACATGTTCCTTATATATATTATAACACTACTACTCTTGACTAAGGAAAGACTAAGTTCATTATGGTATAATTGTCAGAACTGAATGAAGCGTGTAAGCAAAATATCTTCCTTGTAGACACGGTTTCAGCCAGCTGTCCCATTTAGCACCAACACCAAGAGATTTGTGTTTGTATTTTTCCACTTTTTAAAGTATTTATGATAAATCTTGGGACGACTAATGCATTTTAGCAAGTTTAATTTTTCTTTTTTTACTAAAAGTCAGACGGCTCAGGGTCTGGGTTAAAGCTACATTGTGCTTACTTCGTATAGATTTAAAAGAGGTGATTTATCATTTTTCTTTCCAAGTATTTATAAGTTTGAAAAGATTATGATTTGTAACTTTTACCAGAATTATCCCAGATTTCCTGATCCGTCTATGTTGAAAGGTACATAGTTAAGCAGACTCAGGTTCTATTAAAACCCTGAGCTATTTAACCTTGAATTAAGCAGACCCTGAAAGAGAAATACATAGTCACTGTTGCATTTTGTTGGCTTGAATGGGAACAGAGAACTACCTAGCTGACCGTAGCATTTCTGATTAATGATATTTTTCATGCGGAAGGGTGCAAATGCAGGAGATCTGTAGGCTTGATTTGTTGGCTTGCATGTTGAGTCTGTGGGAAGAGTTCAAATATTAGAGGGGCCATACTTGTAAAGGTTTGGGCTGCTCATTGGCTGCTAGGGAAAAAAAAAACTTTGCCTGGAAAAGGCAATATTGAATACGCAAGGCTTTCAATGGAATTTAACTGGAATCATCTCACAACTCCAGGTTGGAACTTGGAGGTGATAAAGTGCACTATTTTTGCATGCATGGGACCCCCTTGAAACAAATATATCCTTCTACCTCACATATCTAAATTAAAACAGTGACTGCACAACATTTCCCATCCACTTTACAATTTGCTTTCCTATAGTTGGTGGGCGGTTGTTCCTATTTTGTTTTGTTTTTTAAAGAAAACACCCATGCCTACAAAGTTCATAGTGTTCATAGATCATTGAGATAATTCCTACTCAACAAGGGATCATTACCTCCACTCACGGGAAAGGAGCTTATGTGGGACTTAAGATTTGATGGAGAAGCACCCACTTCCTGTTGTAGGCAATGTAGATTTGCTACAGCAGAGTACTACATTTTGAAGAGCAATTTGTTTGATCGTCTCATAGCTCCATGTTGCAGTTTGCTGGCTTGTGTATTTTAACCCTTTTACTGTGTATATATCATGAGAAAAAAATTGGCATGTGTCCCACTCCCATCTAAACCAATAGCAAATAAGGATATGTCTTGCATTATCTGTGTAGACGTATTGAGCTTTGTATTGTGTATGGATGACTGTTTTCTGATTTTGTTTAGCATTATAGTTTATACTGAGGCTGGTTGTGTATTTCTGCTGTTTAAAATAGTCAGCAGATTCTCAGCTGCTCTACACTTTTTTTCTATGCACTTTAAACTTTTAAGTTCTCAGAAAGAAGATAAACTGCCTCTTGGGATGTCAATTTCTGTCTGACACTATTTGAATATAGTACGAGATTTCAAAAAACAGATATGTAGCAATCATGTATCAAAACATTCGAGCTACATAATGGCTTGTATAATGTGAAACAAATGTCTATTTTTATCTGGCCTAAACCAATCTGTATACCTAATTTTGATTAAAAAATGGAACATTTTTCAGCTTGGGTCTCTTTCTTTTTAAATTAACATCATAAAGATTATCTAATTCAGGCCACAGTATCTTTCCCAAACACACATGGAAAACATTTCATAAAGGGTAGCTACATGCCCTCCAGTTTAGAGAATGGGCAGTTTCCCTCCTGCATTCATTTGAGTGTGGAAGAAGGTTGAACACATCTTGATGAAGCATCCCCTTCTTGAAAGGAATCTGGAAGCTCTTGCTGTCTCTAGTGTACACCGTCAACATCTGTGTGAAGTTTTGTATTATCCTTGTAGTAATGAAGAGTAATGACCTAGAACAGCAGATACACTGCAATTGAGCTGTAGTGGCGCAGTGGTTAGAATGCAGTATTGCAGGATGATTCTGCTCACAGCCAGCAGTTCGATCCTGACAGGGCTCAAGGTTGACTCAGCCTTCCATCCTTCCGAGGTTGGTAAAATGAGGACCCAGATTGTTGGGGGCCATAGGCTGGCTCTGTAAACTACTCAAAGAGGGCTGTAAAGCACTGTGAAGCTATATATAAGTCTTAAGTGCTATTGCTATTGTTAATTTGAACAGAATGATTTCTTGACTGTATGAGAACCACGGTTCACCATTATTTTGATAATAGGGACTGGCCAGATGCTTCTGCAAAGGGTAAAGTTTGAATGAAAAAAGCAAAGTGTATTGAACTCTCTCAACTAATACCTGTTGCTAAATATAGCTTCCTGGGTTTGAATAAAACTTTAAAAAAAACTTTGAGTTTTTTTATCCTTATCATCATCACATCCTATGGCAGTGAACTTTATGATGTGAAATCCTATACTGTATGTTTCATCCCTGAACTTGTTGTTGCGAAGTTGTGTCCGACCCATCGCGATCCCATGGACAACGTTCCTCCAGGTCTTCCTGTCCTCTACCATCTTCTGGAGTCCATTTAAGCTCACGCCTACTGCTTCAGTGACTCCATCCAGCCACCTCATTCTCTGTCGTCCCTTTCTTCTATTGCCCTCAATCTTTCCCAGCATCAGGCTCTTCTCCAGTGAGTCCTTCTCATTAGGTGGCCAAAGTACTTGAATTTCAACTTCAAGAT